GGCATATATGTGGCATATGTGGCGACTCACGTGGCGTATGAGGCGGCCGAGCTTGAAGAGGTTGCCCCTGTATCCCTCTATGGAGGCAATATGTGGCATATGTGGCGTACATGTGGCGTATATGTAGCATATATGTGGCATATGTGGGGACTCACGTGACGTATGAGGCGGCCGAGCTTGAAGAGGTTGCCCCTGTATCCCTCTATGGAGGCGATATGTGGCATATGTTGCATACATGTGGCGTATATGTGGCATATGTGGCGACTCACGTGGCGTATGAGGCGGCCGAGCTTGAAGAGGTTGCCCCTGTATCCCTCTATGGAGGCAATATGTGGCATATGTGGCGTACATGTGGCGTATATGTAGCATATATGTGGCATATGTGGGGACTCACGTGACGTATGAGGCGGCCGAGCTTGAAGAGGTTGCCCCTGTATCCCTCTATGGAGGCGATATGTGGCATATGTTGCATACATGTGGCATATATGTGGCATATGTGGCGACTCACGTGGCGAATGAGGCGGCCGAGCTTGAAGAGGTTGCCCCTGTATCCCTCTATGGAGGCGATAAACTTGGCGTCCGTGGCCCGCTGAGGGACGCTTTGCATCAACTCCAGGGCCCGGCTGAGGTCCTCTGTGTCGTCCCCCAGCACCTTGCTGTACTTCACCAGCTCCTGGGGGAGAGGGGGAATGGTTAGGGTGGAGGCTTTTTTGGGGCGAGAGTGAGGCGAGGGGATAGATACTTGGGGGCGAGGGGGGGCTGAATGTTTAGGAGGCGAGATTTTTTGGGGGCGAGAATGAGGCCCATATGTAGAGCAATATTACATAAGGTTACTGTACATATAGAACATGTACATGTTATATATGCTTTATATGACGGAATTGACAAACTATTTGATTTTTAAGATCATAGTACGCGTGTAGTCCCGGTAATTCTTATAAGCTTTTGTAATTTTGGAAATTTTTATTTTGAGTCTTTAATTAGGCTCTCGAATACTTAGTAGTTTTTGATACCCAAATAACTTCAAGGATTTGATTGATAATTGATTATAATTATTTAAAAATTATTTTCCGATTATTTAATCAATTCTCATACATTCCACATCCCCGTAGGCTACAACAACATTAAAGGGAGTGGTGGGGTTATCAGGAGTAACTCCCCACCCACGGGGGATTATAGAACCACCACAGGAAACCCCCAAACCAAATTAACGTAATTAAAATAATATAAAACCCCGAGTCCTGGGCGGCAGCTAATACAGAGTCAGGCCAGCGTCTCTCCCGACTCTTGGGCGGCACCTGATGCAGAGTCGGGCCAGCGTCCAGAATGACGTTGTCGAGTGTTGCTGTTCTGGGGTTGTTTTGGACCTCCTAGGCTGGGGTTGTTTTGGACCTCCTAGGCTGGGGTTGTTTTGGACCTCCTAAATAAGGTTGCTGTACATATTGAACATGTACAGCAATATTATGTGTTGCGTATGTGATGTTGCTGTACATATAAAGCATGAACATGTTAAATATGCTTTATATGACGGAATTGACAAACAATTTGATCTTTAAGATCATAATACGAATGAAGTCCCTATAATTTCTAAGTTCATTCAGTTTTAATAATTTTTCATTTGAGTCTTTAATTAGGCTATCGAATACATAGTAGTTGTTTATACCCCAATAAATACAAGGAATTGATTGATAATTGAATATAATTATTTAAAAGTTATTTTCCGGTTATTTATTAATTCTCACACATTCCAGGTCTTCAGTAGTCTTCAGTGGTCATTCAAGGTCTTCAGGCTAGTCTCTGCTAGTCTCTGTTAGTTTCTGCTAGTTTCTGCTAGTCTCTGCTAGTCTCTGCTAGTCTCTGCTAGTCTCTGCTAGTCTCTGCTAGTCTCTGCTAGTCTCTGTCAGTCTCCGTCAGTCTCCGTCAGTCTCTGCTAGTTTCTGCTAGTCTCTGCTAGTCTCTGCTACACATCTAGATGTGTATAAGAGACAGTACTAGCAGAGACTAGCAGAGACTAGCAGAGACTAGCAGAGACTAGCAGAGACCTGTCTCTTATACACATCTAGATGTGTATAAGAGACAGCTGCTAGTCTCTGCTAGTCTCTGTTAGTTTCTGCTAGTCTCTGCTAGTCTCTGCTAGTCTCTGCTAGTCTCTGCTAGTCTCTGCTAGTCTCTGCTAGTCTCTGTCAAACTCCGTCAGTCTCTGCTAGTCTCTGTCAGTCTCTGCTAGTCTCTGTCAGTCTCTGCTAGTCTCTGATAGTCTCTGTCAGTCTCTGCTAGACTCTGTCAGTCTCTGCTAGTCTCCGATAGTCTCTGTCAGTCCCTGCTAGTCTCAGTCAGTCTATACTAGTCTCTGATAGTCTCTGTCAGTCTCTACTCGTCTCTGTTAGTCTCTTCCAGTCTCTGCTGATCTCTGCCAGTCTCTGCTAGTCTCTGCTAGTCTCTGCTAGTCTCTGCTAGTCTCTGCTAGTCTCTGCTAGTCTCTGCTAGTCTCTGCTAGTCTT